TTGGGATGAAAACACGAAGATCCGTGAGAGAGAAAATGGCTTTTCTCTAGTTAGAAATGTGACTATTGAATAAATATGGCTCAGATTTCTATATATAGTGCTGGGATTTTTGGCAGAAAATATTTTATTCCCAAAATGAACTCTAATATCATAGAGTTTTGGAATAACAGTGTTGCACAAAACCCTAGTGCATCCACTCTCCTAATATCTCCTTAAGTGTAAATCCTGAAAACTGTCAAACTTATACCCAAAAGTCTGGGACTTCACTATAACTATCATAACTTCTATTGACTTGATATGGTGTGTACAGAATGGAAATTTTGGGTTGTCACATGCAATTACTGAAAATCCCTAGTCTAGTACTAGCATGCTATTCTAACATATCACATAATCAAATAACTATATGGTATCTTGGGGTTTACTTCCTGGCTTCGGCTGATCGTACACCCTACATCCTCCTTTACTTATTTTGAAAACATTTAGAAAATCTTTCCTCGATTTGAGACTGGATTCACATGAATGTTCCTCCAATTCACTCAAACCAAGGCTCTGATACCAACTTGTAACACCCATAAAAATCATGCCAAATTTTAACTTTTTCAAAAAAACATAAAACCATTTAACATCACATAGTTTGTTTTCAAAATAATAAAAATCAAATTATCCCGGTATCAAATCATAAAAATCATAACAGCATGAGGAGCGGTACAATCATGCCTTCGCCTTCCCGCGATCTCCAGAAGTACCTGAAACCACAAACAGAAACTGTAAGCCCAAAAGCTTAGTGAGTTGCCCCAAAATACCCATACCCATGATAATACAAATATAATCATAAAGAGAATACTATGGCTCCAGTCAACCATCGGGTTGGAATACCCCTGACCGGCTGACCCTCAACCAAGCGGTTGGAATGCCAACATACTATGGGTCCAATCATCCTCGGGATGGAATACCCCTAGGCCCCTAACTAACAGGTTGGAATACCCACATACTATGAGTCCAATCATCCTAGGGATAGAATACTCACGGCCCACAACCAACATGTTAGAATACCCAGGTCTATTGGCTTTTGCACATGAATGTTCCTCCAATTCACTCAAACCAAGGCTCTGATACCTACTTGTAACACCCATAAAAATCATGCCAAATTTAAACTTTTTAAAAACACATAAAACCATTTAACATTACATAGTTTGTTTTCACAATAATAAATATCAGAGTATCCCAGTATCAAATCATAAAATTCATACCAGCATGGGGGGTGATATGATCATGCCTTGGCCTTCTCGTGATCTCCAGAAGTACTTGAAACCATAAACTAAAACTGTAAGCCTGAAAGCTTAGTGAGTTCCCCCAAAATACCAATACCCACGACAATACACATATAATCATAAACAACATACTATAGGTCTAGTCAACCATCGGGTTGGAATACCTAACGCCCTCAACCAATTGCTTGGAATTCCAACATACTATGGGTTCAATCATCCTCAGGATAGAATACCTCAGGCCTACAACCAATAAGTTGGAATGACCACATACTATGAGTCCAATCATCCTCAGGAGGGAATACTCACGACCCATAACCAACAGGATGGAATGCCCAGGTCTATTGGCTTTCACACAAAGCAGATAAGCCTCAACCGCCAAACAAACATGTGTACATATAACAGATAATCACATAGCAGTCTATAGACAACGAACTGATCAAAATAGATCATACCACATAACACATAATATATATATATATATATATATATATATATATATATATATCAGGATACCAATCTAACAGATCGTACTAGCATATCACATAATACTAGCCTATAACCAGGACACCGACCTAACCAAGTCATTAAGCATAAACATAACCTCATCCTAACTACCAGGATGCAAATCAATAAACATATCATGTCGTAACCAGATACAATCCATAAAGGGTCGGCCTTGGTGCCTTAGACCCTGTTGATATAGTGAGGATAACTCACCTCGCTAGTAGTGCTGAAATACTGTAAACCTCTTACTATTGTCTCGCCGGTAATCCCAAACTATTACACAATAAATACCAAATTAATACCTAAAATAACCTTGTTGACTAAATGTCCACACCATTCATTAAGTCCATTCTCAGTATTGGGCCAAAGCCCAAATACCCAGTCCTCGACTTGAAAGTCCACATAAAAGCCCATTATCGACTCAATTTACCAAATTAGGGCCAACCTCCTAATTGGGCCTCACCTCATGATCCACTATCACTACCAAGACCAAAATATCTTATTTATAAAGTTCAGCAAAGGCCTAATTCCATTTAGTCCATAAATAGCCCAAAATTCGAAGCCAATTTGACAATGGCCCAACAAAGGACGTACGCGGGGCGTACTCCTTTGGTATGCGGGGGGTACTCGACTAGATGTTGACCACCATCAAGGTGGTTGACCCAGTTCATTGGGCATACTGGATTTACGTTGGGCGTACTCAACAGTTTATCAGAACCTTATTAAGTGCTTAATGGCTTAAGCACTTAAGCCCAAACTTTAGATCCAGAGACCTAACATGCCTAGGATCCATAAAATCATGAACTTTATCACTTTGGACGTCCATAAACTTCTTAATGCTTTGTCTTATTCCATTAAGACTTTATTTCTCCATGCATGGGACACATACAACTAGTGGGACCTCATTTTTATCACTCAAGGTCCCTTAAAGAGTCTAGAAGGACATCCCTTTTCGTCTAAAACACAACATGCACCACCTTATGGCTTTTGGGACAAGAAATGCTTCTAATAAGGTAAAATGATGAGATCTATGCATATATGCATAAAGTTTGGAAATTTATACCTTCTGTAGCTTCTTGAGCACAACTTAACTTCAGATCTACAAGCTTGATCTTCTTCTCCAACACTTTGATGCAATACCTTCCTCTTAAATCACTCAAGAACACACCAAATAAGCTTAAACACACAAAGGAAAGGCTAGGGTTTGGGGAGGATGAATGTAATCTGTGGAGGCTGAGGTAAGGGAGGTTCGATGATCAACATGTTGCTTATATAGGCCCCAAACCCTAAATATTAGGGCTTTCACCCTGACATTAGTACGTCCAACGTACTAAGGCGGACCTTAGTACGCTTAGCTTACTCTTATGTACACGCATCGTACTCCCTCTTGCCCCAAGTTTGAAAACTTGGCCCTTAAACTTATCTTGGCTCTTCACTTCCAACCCTAAGGACTATAAATGACAAGGTAAAGATAGAAGAGGGTTCAGGAATACCTGTCAAATCTCGGGATGTTACGACCATTGATTGATCTCTAATAAAAACACTAGAAAATAAAGTCCAGAAAGGAAAGGGAGGGTTTTTTAGATGGTAACGATGGTAACGGATGAGTGGTGACATGAGATAGTGGATGATAAAGGTGATGCGGTTAGGGTGTTCTTGGAAATGGTGGGGTGTAGTGGGGCTCATTAGATAGTATAAATGTATAATAATAAATTTTAGTTAAAAATATAAAATAAAAAGAAAAATACTCAAGTTAACCTATTTATAGAAATAAGATTAACAAATGTTAGCTTTTAGGATCAAAATCACAACCCAACTTTTTCAAAAAGTCTATTTTCAAGTTCAAGCATTTTTAAACTCTACTAAAAAAAGGCAAACCACATATTATTCTTTATATTCATCAAAAAAAAAATCTTGTTATAAGTACCAAATTCAAGAAATAGGTCCGTAAGGACCAATTTTGTAAATTACATTATATTTGTTAAATAGTTGTTCTTAAAAAGTTAAAATATAGTCATGTTATTCAAAAAACTATGGATAGATTTACAAATCTTTTCAACTTACATGAATGTCCAAAATAAAGAATTTTCCATGATTTTGGTTCAAAAACCTTAAAAAGATGGTTATATTCTTTTAATTTATTTTTTCTTTTTCTATTATTATTTTAGTATTATTTTGATTTTAGAATATATATATATATATATATATATATATATATATATATATATATATATATGGACCACCACCCACCCCTACCATATCGTATTCTCTCTTTATATCTATCTATCTATCTCTCTCTCTCTCTCTCTATATATATATATATATATATATATATATATATATATATATATATATATATCTTCTCTCCCCTTCTTTTTTTAATTCTTTTTGTTTTTCTCTTTCTTCCATGTTCTTCTTCCTCATCTATCATATGTAAATCAGGAAAAAAAAACCTATAATTTTTTGCTACTTTGCTACTAGATTACATGTACAATGAGACCCCTAAAAAATCAGGTTCTTAAATTTTTTTTACCCAGCTTCAAAAACCAATATTTTGTTTTTCAGAAATCAAACACACACACACACACACCTCAGCTTTAAATCTGGAGCTTCCGTTCAATTTTTATCTCATCTCTCTCTGTCTCTCTCTCTCTCTCTTCCTCTCTGTCTCTCTCCCTCTCTCTCTCTCTCTCTCTCTCTCTCTATATATATATATATATATATATATATATATATATATATATATATATATATATATATATATAGAGAGAGAGAGAGAGAGAGAGAGAGCTCATTTAAGTGCCTCTTTCCAAATCCTCCACACCATGCCCTCTTCTGCACCTTGCCTTCATCGTCTTTCAGCATACATCTAACTCTCTGAATTATCTCAATGAATGTCGTTGGCCTACTCAGATATTTACAAACAACAATCACAAATTTTGGGAATTGATCAATACGTTATTTAGGGCTATGTATTATTGAATCTGTTGATAATGAATTCAAGAAAATTAACGAGTTAAAGAGCATTGACGAATAAGGGCATACCTGTCACCCACAAGCTTCATGAAGACCTGAAGTATAGTCCCTTAATCATCTCTATCAACAGAAGAGGTTGTAGCATCATGGGGAGACGTTGGCGTCTTCGACTTCAATGGCGACTGAGCATACTGCAAGGTCGTCAGAGGCAGTGAAGTTACGACAATTATTGTGGGAAAACATTGTGATATGGAGGCGAAGAAGCGGAAGAAAAGTCGGGCGTTGTTGGTGGCGTCAGACATAGGATTGGCTCCGATGAAGTTGTTGAAGCCATTAGGGCTTCTTGGTGGGAATGGAGAAGTTGTCATCTTTTTTATGTATGTGTGTGAAAGAGAGAGACAGTTTTTTTGTTTTGTATTTAAAAAATTCTCTAAATAAAAATAAATAAATAAAGTAAAGAAATCCAAAAGTAAAATTAAAAGGGTATAATGGTTTTTTAAGTCGTTTAGGAACTAAAGCCACATCGGTTATTTGATTTTGAACTTTCTTCAAAACTTTTTGCATCGTATCAATAGTTTTTTAAATATCGGACCAATAATTTTATAGTTTTGTCCAAAAATATATTCATTTTTGTACAAACGAAAATTTATTTCGTGCATAATGAAACTAGAAACCACATTAGGAAACGGAAACTACGGCGGCCGCCACACTTGAAACCACCCACCTACCACTTCCACGTCGGATTCTGACCCTTATCACTAGGTTCGTTGTATTAGTCTCCATAACTTCCTCAAACATCAATGGGCAATTTAAGAAATCTGTCGATATTCAGAATCTCATGCTTTATATAAAGGTGCACTCTTCCCACTTCTTCTATATCATTTCTTTCTTTTCAAATCCATCTGTTTTCAACCTCTGATTTTCACGCTAAAAATAAAGAGGATAAAGTGCTGAATGTTTTTGTTTTGTTAAATTGATCGGTGTTTGTGAGATCAAACGGTCACTTAAAATTTGGATGAATGCAAGCTGAATCTGCTCAAAGATGCACGAAACCTGATCAGTTTGTTTAGTTATTACTTATTACCCATTTCTTATCCGTTGTGTTTCTAGATTCGTACGAGTTCGATTATTAATTGTTTTTCACAAAAGAGATAACAATCTGAAAAGTCCGTTGAAATTCATACATTTGACGGTTGAAGTTACGATTGTTCGGGATTGGTTTAGTACGAGCTGAATCTGTTCGGATTTGAACCGAAATCTGATCGGTTCCAATGTATGGTCATGGTGGCTCATCCGATGCGACTGCGAGAGATATGAATTCACTGCTGCATTCCTCTACTTTTAAGCATCCTCCGGATGGTGAGTTTGCGGAGATTAAGGAGTTGATTTCTTCCGATTCTTCTTATTCCGATTACAATCATCATGATGATGAGCATAATCACAATTACAGCGGGAATCAAAATCAAAGCAGACAAATTGAAAGCTCGTTAATGCGTTACCGTTCTGCTCCGAGCTCCTTCTATGCGAGTCTCCTCGACGAAAACGGATGCGATGATTTTCTGGCTCCTGTGGAGACCTCGAATCACACGCCAGAAGAAGGGAGAGAAAGGTCCTTCTCCAGCAATCAGCATCAACAACATGTATTTCAATCGGATTCGCATGATTTTATACAGTACGCATCAAAGATAGATACAAAAGAAGATGGGATTCCGAAGGTAAATCACACGCCGATTTCTACGGTCATGTTCGGTTGTAATTCACATCAAATGCCTCATGTACTACAACCGAGTAACACCTACAATCATCATACTAAAATGGGGAGCTCGTCAACACTTAGAACGATGAATCCAACGACCTCAAATCTCATTAGACAAAGTAGCTCTCCAGCTGGATTTTTGTCCTCCTTGAACGCTGAAACTGGTAATTTTTCAATTTCTTTATTCAATTCATTGTTTATTTCAACTTGCAAACCTTAAAAAAGAAACCACATTTTTTTAATCACTTCTTGTCCTATGAATTATGAAAGCAATAGAGTTTCTGGCTTTCTGCTATCACTATTTAATTAATTATGTTCCTCATTTATTTGCTGTCTTTCTTTCAAAGAAATAAAAATATAGTTTATACTCCCTCCAATGGAATTGATGCATTTAAAAAAAAAAAAAAACATATTATAATGTTTGGAACAGCATCTTTATCATAAAAATGGTTAGTAAGATTTTGAATTAAATGCACATGAGAAAATTTTAAGTCTTCTTGATGGTAAATTTGAGGGTTGCAAGTAAAGATATTAGTTTATTACGATTTGATGAAAGTGATTATATGAGTGCAACATAAACAACGTGGTTTATCGACCTTAATATAAACGAAATTTGGAAAAATATTGCTTAAATGCGGTTTACTTTGCAACCCTTTTGGATCTTAGTAAAACCATTAAGAAGTCAACTAAAAATATAATTGCATAATTTATAAACAAGTTGTTAACTGTTAACATCCTCCATTCATTGTTTACTTATGCATTAAAAATAATTTATAGAAGACCTATAAAATCCAATCACATGGTTTGAATTAATATTCACGAAATTTTATGTTATAACAATTGTATGGTTTCTTTTTCTGGTTGAATATTTGATATAATATTTTTTTAATCTCTAATTTAGTAATTTACATTGATTAATTTGGAGTGGGAAAAGGTTTCAATAGTCCAATGCTTTTAGAGGTGGGGATGCACATGCTTGTGATCCATAATTATGTATTTTTATCACTCTTTCCTATTTAAAAAGTTGTTTTTTTATGAGAAATTAAATATCATTTCGTATTTTTTCTATGTCTTTTTATCCATCTTAAATCATGACATATGTTATATTTGATGGAAATAACAATAATATTTCAATAAACTTATGTAACACATGTCACTAATTAGATAATATATGAGGATATATATATATATATATATATATATATATATATATATATATATATATATATATATATATATATATATATATATAAAGGATATTTAATTTCCTTTCTTGTATAATCAATGTCCCTCAAAAACTTTTTCAATTTTTTGTTTAAAAGTAGTTTTTCTTTTAGATCCTAAATGACAGGATGAATAATTAATTGCCAATTTGGCGCAAAGTGAGTGTGTGCAAAGCATATGGAACTATCGGTATTGTGAATATAAGTTGCAATAACACTTTAGGCTAAATGAAATAAAAATGGCAAAATACTTTTATAAATTAGTACATTATAGTATCAAAATATTTTATTATATTACAATATTGTACTTTAAATTCTTTTTAAGATATTGTAATTTGAAAAAACTTCTAAATTATGTTATAGTTTGATATATTTTTTGAAGTACAATATTGTAATAGGAAGAATTGGGAATATAATGATACAAATTCAATAAAGAAATCATGAAAGTACATTGTTATTTCCTGCATTTTTAACATTACAAAGACTAAATAATTTTCAAATTCCATATCAGGTTTCGCGGGAATGTGTGATGTGGAGAAACCAATTTCTTCAAGTAGGTTAAATAATCGTATTAGTTTCTCATCAACTCCATCTTCTTCTCCACAATTCTTGCCACAAATTTTCGAAAACAAGAATGATTCCACATTCAAGAGCTTAAAAAGGACAAGAGATAGTGATTCAATGATGTTTCCAAGCTCGATAACATTGGACATTGAGGTTTAATTTTATTTCATAATTGCTTTAATTTTTATAGTCCCCAACACTTGGTTCCAAGATGGTAGTTTCAATTCCATTGTGATTTGAGACCTCTTGTTGAAACTAGGTTCCTACGTCATCAATTTGATTGGTCACGGTTTACCTGATTTACATCTCACATGTTAAGTCGATCTGCCAGTGATTCCTGGAGACCTGACAATTCGTGTATTCGTATCATGAAAACGTGTCAGCCACGAATTTGACATGATACGATTACACAATAACAAATAAGCTTTATCTTAATTTTTAAGATGTATTCATGTCGTATATTCGTGCCGTGTCGTGTCTCTCACAGATTCGTGTCTTCGTGTCTGAAATTGCCAGGTCTAGCTAGAAGAATAACTTCTTTTGTTGTTTGTAGAATTGGTAATGTGTAATTGCTTAGAATTCCATATTGAGGTGTATGATCTTTGTTTCTTTCAGAATGGATCGTCTAGACATTATTCGCCTAGTTTGGTCCATCATATGAGCTTGCCAAAAACTTCTTCTGAAATGGCAACTGCTGAAAAGTTCTTGCGATTCGAACAAGACTCGACTCCATGCAAGATACGTGCCAAAAGAGGATGTGCCACACACCCACGGAGTATCGCAGAGAGGGTATAAAAAGCTTGTGTAATTATATGTTTTGTTTTAATTTCTGTTCTTAGTTTCTTAATGAAACATTAACACATTTAATTATTAATGTGGACGTACAGGTGAGAAGAACCAGAATAAGCGAGAGAATGAAGAAAATACAATCGCTTTTTCCTACCATGGACAAGGTAATCATTTGGATCTCAAGAATCTATTTTTTTGTAATTAACCTGCTTCATGGGTTGTACTCTAGGCATAAATTATGCATCGGTCATAACGATGAGAACTTACTGTTCCCTTACTGTCGTTTTACAGCAAACAAGCACAGCAGACATGTTAGATTTGGCTGTTCAATATATTAAAGATCTCCAAAAAGAATTGAAGGTCTTAATTTTTTTCATTGCTCAAAATTGTCAAATATACAATTCAAAATCATAGTATCGTATATTTATTCTCACCAATTTCCCTTTGTTTTGCATGTAGAATCTCAGTGATGTTCGGGGAAGGTGTACATGTTCAACTCAAAAATAACAGACAAAAATAGATCCACGGGCTATTGTGAAGCCAGGAGTCTATATTTGATTTTGTCATCTTTTATTTAGGGATTTCATTTTGTTATAGTGTGAGAATAAGCGAATAAGAGGAAAAGTAAGAGGGGATCCATAAAATGGAGGTAAATGTTGTAAATGAATTATAAATTTTTTGTAGACAATGTAGTTTAGGCCTATTAGATGAAACATTCACAAGGCCGGACCAATGTGACGTGAAATGTTACGCCAGTTAGTTGTTTTTTTTTTGGTTTCTCCGTGAAAAACTGTTAATTTAGTTACAAAGCAATTAAAGTTTACAACTTGGTAGTTTTGTTCGGTGACCTCTCCTAAAGACATGTCATCTTGAGGACAATATTGTCTTTCTAGTTCAGTTATAGGAAATAACCTTTGTTTACCAAAAAAAAATTGAATTCAAATGAATACAATGTTGACCGTATAACCCGGATACCTAATTTGGAATTTAATGACATTCCCTTCGTGGGTTTATAATATTCACTTTGTGGGTTAATGGTGTTCCCTTTGCAGAGTTTAATGATGTTTCCTTATTGTGACATTTGGACTTTGGGATGATGAGGATTGAGAATTAGAAGCATAGACATTGTAATTTTATATGATATTTTTACTCAGACAAAATTGCAAAAATGGTTCCGGGGGTTTGTCATTCTCAGTGGGTAAGGTTAAAAAAAAGTTTATTAGCAAAAAAGGTCCCTATTTGATGGTTTTGTTGCGGTTTTGATCCCAACCTCGTTAAGTTTAACAGCATAGTTGTTAACTTTTTTTACCATTTCTACAGTTTTATCTTTTTACCAAACTACAAGGACCAATTATGCAATTTTTCTTTTTTATTTTATTGAATTATTATATATTAATTATTTTAATTGCTTTTTGTTTTTAACTTTTTTCTTATTGTATTATTTTTTTTATTGGATTATTATATATTTATACATATTATTTTTATTATATTATATTTATATATTAATAAATATTACTTTTTTATTATTAATTTTTATTTATTTTTTGAATTTCTTTTTTATTGCATTAATTCTTTTTTATTAGAATATTATATATTAATAAATATTATTTTTAACATATAATATTTAACTATTAGTAAGTGTTGCTTTTTTGGATTATTAAATTCATTAAATTAATTTTTTTTAAATTTTTTTATTTCGTTAATTCTTTTGATTGGATTATTATATATTAATAAATATTAATTTTAATATATTATATTTATATATTAATAAATATTACTTTTATTATTTTTTTAATTGATTTTTTTTAATTTCTTCTTTATTGTATTATTTTTTTTATTGGATTATTATATATTAACAAATATTATTTTTAGCATACAATATTTATCTATTAGTAAGTGTTACTTTATTGGATTATTAATTTTATTTAATTATTGTTTTTTAATTTTTTTATTGCATTAGTTATTTTTATTGGATTATTAATTTAAATTTATTATTTTTATTTATAATAAATAATATTTATTTAATTGTTTTTATTTTATTTTAAATTCTTTCTTTATTGTTTTAAATAAAATTAACAAACACTCCGGGTTAGCTCTTCCATTTGTTGCATTTTACCACCTTGCGTCGTCGAATCATCTCGCTGGAAATCATCGATCATTGACTTCAGTCGGCCATTTTCGACGAAAGCTACACCAGTTAACTACACACATAATGTGAAATAAAACCCTGAAAGTATACTTCTTCCAGCAAACTAGTCATTATAAATACCACCATCGATGACGACAATGTTAGATCGAGGGTTTTCAAACCACCACAGCCACTACACCACTACAGGTGGTGACAAAATTGTAGAACTCGTTATTCGCTACTCATTCGGCCGATCGCGGAGTAGCAAATACTCAGATTTGGTAGTTCGTGTAGAAATATTTTTAAGGAAATTATATATGTCAGTATTATAATATTTGTTAATGTATAATAATCTAATAAAAAAGAATTAACGCAATAAAGAAGAAATTAAAACGGTTTATTTATGGGTTTGAAAACCCTTGCTCTAACATTGTCATCATCGATGTTGGTATCTGTAATGACTGGTTGGCTAGATGAAGTATGCTTTATGAGTTTTAGTTCACATTGTGTGTGTAGTCAACTAGTGTAGTTTTCGTCGAGAATGGCCGACTGTAATCAATGATCGATGATTTCAAGCGAGATGATTCGACGACGCAAGGTGGTAAAATGCAACGAATGGAGGAGCTGACCCGGAGTGTTTGGTATTTTTTTTAAAACAATAAATAAAGAATTTAAAATAAACTAAAAACAATTAAATAAATATTATTTATTATAAATAAAAATAATAAATTTAAATTAATAATCCAATAAAAAGAACTAATGCAATAAAAAAATTAAAAAATAATAATTAAATGAAATTAATAATCCAATAAAGTAACACTTACTAATAGATAAATATTATATGCTGAAAATAATATTTGTTAATATATAATAATCCAATAAAAAGAATTAATACAATAAAGAAGAAATTTAAAAAAAATCAATTAAAAAAATAATGAAAGTAATATTTATTAATATATAAATATAATATATTAAAAATAATATTTATTATCATATAATAATCCAATCAAAAGAATTAACGAAATAAAAAAATTAAGAAAAAAGTTAATTAAATGAATTTAATAATCCAAAAAAGTAACACTTACTAATAGCTAAATATTATATGTTAAAAATAATATTTATTAATATATAATAATCTAATAAAAAAGATTTAATGCAATAAAGAAGAAATTCAAAAAACATAATTAAAAAATGTAATAATAAAAAAGTAATATTTATTAATATATAAATATAATATAATAAAAATAATATGTATTAATATATAATAATCCAATAAAAAATAAAACAATAACAAAAAAGTTAAAAAGAAAAAAGTAATTAAAATAATTAATATATAATAATTCAACAAAATGAAAAAGAAAAATTGTATAATTGGTCCTTGTACTTTGGTAAAAAAATAAAACTGTAGAAATGGTCCCAGGGGTAAATCCATCATTTGCCAAAAGTTAACTGCAATGCTGTTAAACTTAATAAGGTTGGGACCAAAACCGCAACAAAACCATTAAATAAAGATATTTTTTTGCTAATAAATGTTTTTTGGACATACCCACAGAAAATGACAAACCACAGGAACCAATTTTGCAATTTTATCTTTTATTGATGTTTAAATGACGTTTGATATAAACCGTTCAATGACAAATGATAGAAGTATGATGAGTGATGTTGTGCAATGTTACTACTTCCATTGGTGTGTCTTTTACTTTATTTATGATTATATTATTTTTACGAGGGTTTCAAAATATTTGGGGGTGCTCATATGTTCCAAGGGAAGTGCAAGTTTCTTAAACTTCATAGATGTTGAATCTTCCTATTTCGTTAGGCTTTCAAAGCCTACATATTTGCCTATATTATGCATGATTAGAGGAACACGACGGATAATGAAGCTTGGACATTTATAAGGCACATATGCCCACTAGGTTTACTTTAAATTTATGGTTTATGTTTACGTTGTTGCATTCTTGTGATTTCCATAAAGTTTTGATTTCAACTTTGGTATTTATGATTTTGGACCTATTTTTCTGTAAATGATTTTTTTGTATTATAAAAATATTATTTTAAATTGGTTAAAACGTTTAACCCATATAAAAGGGTTTTCATCACTTGAAACGTCCCAAAATTTAAGATCAACAATTTCATTTTTTATAACCATCATCCAAAATGTTTCATAAAAACCATAATAAAATCAGAATATATCAACAATCATCCAGTTACATCAGAGTCGAATAAAAAGTGAAACAATATGGTGTGTGCGATGCGATCCTCCCGAGCTCTTCACTTTCGATCTGGAAGTACCTGAAATATAAACTGAAAACCGTAATCACAAAGCTTAATTAGTTCCCCAAAACACCACATATCATACATATCTAACATACAATGGACCATGTCCAACAACCATTGGTCCCCGCCCGACATCGAGCCCCTTTTGGAACATATCTGTCAATATCATATGATGGCCCCGCCTCATCACATCCATCAGGCCCCTCCCGGTATACATATATGCATATAAACACATACAATAATCACTAAGACAAATATCATAGATGCAAGGGTCACACAGAAAACTAGCATCCTAACCATAACAAATCATAGGCCGACATTGGTGCTTTCGGCTTGCCAAACACAGTAAGAGACTCACATCAAGCTGTCGAATATCTCAAATAAAGGCTCAAACTTCTAATCGCAAAAATCCACATGCTAACCAATCAAATAGAACCCAATTAATTAGTTGGGCCATAAACCAAAGCTAGAATCTAATTCATCAATCCAATTCCTAGGTTAAAAGGTCATTTTACCGTTTCCTCACTTGGCCCAATAGCCAAGGCCCAACCCAATAGATCCAAAAGCCTAAAATCCTAAATGACACCTAAAGCCCATTATGGCCCAATTCAACAAGGCCTAATGTCCAACAATAAACCAAAGTCCATAAATGATCTATAGAAGTTAAGTGTCTAAGCCCAATAAAAAAAGCCCCAAATAAACCAAGCCCACAACTTCATCGTCCCACTGATTAGCATAAGTTTGGCATCCCAGGCACGTAAGCCCTACGTATGCGATTGATCCGAAGATGGGGATCGCACCCAGTATGCTCAACATACTCAGGAGTACGCCCTGCGGATTTACTTGATCCCAATTTCTTGATCAAAACTCTTAATTACATAAGAACTTCACATCTAGTCCTCAAACTAACATCATATTAAGGTCCTAAACCATAAAGCTGAAGACTTTAAGTCTCTGCATGGCTAAAAACACCCCAAAGTCCACTTCTAGGATCTTAACTCAATTTAGAAGAACATCAACCTTGAATGGTTGAGCTAAACCCATCAAGTTATCATTTTTATATACAAGGGACCCCATAAAAGTGTAGATTTATCATCCCAAGTTGCTGGAGTAGTCCATACTCCCAAACAAAGCTTAAAGGACCCACAAAGCCCTAAACTAGATCTAGCATAAGGAACCATCAAGTTAGGAGATTTATACCTCAAATAGCTTGCAAAGTTGATGAAGATCTTGGATATTCAAGCCAAGTCCACCAAAGCCTCTGCACCAAGCTTCACTTCCTTCAAGGGGAACAAAAAGACCACAAAAAATCACACAAAGGCTCATAAACACTCAACGAAGATTAAGGTTTCATTCTTAGGGTTTGGAGAAGTGGAGGCTAACCATAAGATGCATGCAAGGAATCATAAGGTGTTTAAATAAGGTACAAACCCTAAAAATTAGGGTTTGTCCCTACCAAGTGTATGCCCCACGTACTCCCAGCGTACGTAGGCCCCTCTGCGACCATCTTGAGAGGCAGTACACCCTACGTAATCATAGAGTACGCCCAACGTACTTGGCTAGGGACCAATATTGCAAAGATTTTTATATCCTAAGGGCTTAAAGAGGAAAACCTAGAAATGGAGTGTTATAATTTCCCCCACTTAAATCAGACTTCGCCCTCGAAGTCCACTGCCTCAAATAACTCTGGGTAATGCTCCCTCATCTCGTCC